AAATTTTAAGCACAAACCTTCAATCCCCTTCAAAGTACTCTCCACTTACACTAATACACTTGTCTAGTCTTTTATTCCATTTTTCAAAACATTGTCTAAATTCATCTTTTGAGATGCATGACAGTGCCTCCGTCATTTTTTCCTTCACCTCAGCAACATTAGCAAAATGCTTTCCTTTCATGTCTCTTTTCATTCGAGGAAACAAAAAAAAGTTTTGATCATTTCAGGACTCTTCTTTCAAAGCACAGCATGCTTCCACGTGACCTTGTTTTTGTTCAGCAGTCGGCAGTTGTGGCACGAATTTCGCAGCCACCCTTTTCATTCCCAAATCTTCTGTCAAAATTCGCTGAACTGAGCTCCAAGTCACTCCCGACAGCTCCACAATTTCTTCAATGGTCCGTCGTCGATCTTCCTTGATGATTTCACGATTTTTTCAACATTTTCATGCGTTCGGGCCGTGGAAGAACGACCAGAACGAGGTTTGTCATCAATTGACATTTCACCATTTTTGAAACGGGAAAACCACTCAAACACTTGAGTTTTCCCCATAGCATCATCCTTGTACGCCATTTTTAACATTTCAAGAGTTTCTGTTCCACTTTTCCCGAGGAAAAAGCAGAATTTCACTGCAGCACGCTGTTCACGAAAATCAGCCATTGCAAAAACGATGATCACACAAAACAGTTGTCACTATAAACTCTGCCGAAACTAGTCCTTACCTTCTGAAGCAACGGTAGTCAGCTTATCGACTCAGGAATGTTAGCTCTATGCGCTCATAGCGGCAAAACGCGGTAGTACAAAAGCTCTGCCCACAAAAAAATTAGTTCGGTTTCTTTTGGGTACCCCATTGTACATACACCACCATTTTTCAAACATTTTCTGCAAAATTTAGCACCCAATTTATAATTTGAAATATGTATAGCATCAATTTCATAATCGATCAAATGATGCTCAGTCAAACAAATTATATTTAGAAGCTGATTATATAAAGGAATCATGAGCTTGTCAAATTTACCATTCATACCCCTAATATTTGGATGAAAAATCCTAAATACCTTTTGTGAGTCATCATTCTTATTACCGACTAATTTACTGCTTATAGAATATGATTTATTAGTATAATGAACTTCTCTTAGAATACCATGAATATCATTTAATCAACTAGAAGGATTACTATCACAATTTTTGTTAACTGAATTCTGACTTAAATCTCCCATAAAAATCACCATTCCTAGTCACAGGCAACTTTTTTTGATCTTGTGGAGTATCTCAGAACCTGTATATCCTCATGCACAGGATACATTTCTTTGCTATTAGTAGCAAAGTGTAGTTACCACCGCCTGTTGGCAAAGTTAGTGCCAACTTTAGTGGATAGAGGGTGTTGCATGGTCAGTGCAACAGTTCCCCACAGCCATTTTTTTTTCTCAGTTTTCTAGACCAGATCACCTACTCTTCCATTCAAGTAGCTCCTCAGTTATCCTCATGAGGCTGAGTGGACCCTGTTCAAAACCCAATACCTCTCAGAAACTGTGGTAGCGCTGGGAATAGAACCTGGGACCTTTAGATCTATAGCCAGGAACTCTAACCACTACAACTAGCAAAAATGTTGCATAACTACATACCATTAGATTATACAAATATATGGTGGAGGGAGGGCACTTAAAGGGAAAAAATGCCATGAATTCTTCCTGAATGTTTATTCTTGTGGGAATGTACTGTTTACAGCTGCAGTTCAGGCTTAGTCATTTCTGTTGGAAGATCACAGTGCAATGTTATTTTCATACACATAAAAATACCTTCTTGTGAGATGTACCAACCTAAATCTGCAATGTCCTGATGGCCATCGGAAGTCATGTTGAGCAAAGAGGTGACGTGTGAGCAGGGATCCACGCTGGAATCGACTGTCACATATGTGGCAGCAGTACATTGGCTCACCATTTCCACGGTGGCACTAATATATCAGCAGCATAAAGCAACATGTTATTATGATGTACACTACTTTAATGCTGATATTAACTTTCAAAGCAATGACAAAACACAACAGCATATGCGTAGGAGAGGCCCTGTTAACACAGCTATTGTATAAAGCTGAATTAATTATACATAGTTCTTTATTGTTCCACTATACTTCAGTCTGTTGGCCAACAACAGGCTATTTTATGTTTAACTTAACTATTATTAGGTATACAGAGTGCCCCACTAGGAAAGGTATATGTACATGTGTCCTGTTCCAAACAACTTCCAAGAAAGAGCTAGTTCCTCCACGTGATGCGATCTAGAGATTTCTCCTTCAAATGAAAATATCCTCTTCTGTCCCCAAGGTCATCCAGCATCTTCTTATGTCTTCTTCCTCGTCTTCTGGTCACTTCTATCTGCCCCTCTATCTTTCCTTCAATAACTTCTTTTAGAAGGCAGTTACCACGTAAGATATGACCAATCCAGTTAGCCTTCCGTTTTCTTATTTCATGTAGGATATTCCTCTGCTCACTGACTCTAAATAACACTTTTTCATTTCTCACATAATCAGTCCAACTGATCTTCTCCATCCTTCTCCAACACCACATTTCGAAGCTTTCCAGATGTTTCTGATCTACTGCCCTAAGTGTCCA